GTCTCTCTGGGCTGGCCCTCCACTTTGGTCATTTGTCCCTGAGGCTCAGAATCATGGGTCTGGGTGACTGGCTGAGCGGCTGGACTGGGCCCAGAGGCCAGCCCGAGCGGGCCCAGCAGGAGCCGGCCACTGTGGGTCTGAGAGCCCAAGCGGGCCTGACCGCCCCCTCGGATAGCCTCTCTCCCCGCTCGAGCCCAGGCGTCCTAACACCTCGCCGTTCTGCCGGTGACAGCCCTGAGAGCTCTCACTCTGACCCCCAGAGCCGAGCGCTAGAATGGGGACCCCTGGGAGGCGCGTGGAAGACGGCCCAGGAGCCACCTTCGCGCCAGGCCAGCCGGGCAGGAGGCCACCAATCCTGGTGCCATCCGGCGTCATCTGGCAGAATCGGGAGACGAGAAGGGGTGGGGTCGGGCTCCGACAGGCAGCAGCTCCCTTCGCGGGACCCCGAGGCGCTCGGCAGGCCGGAGAGGTGCCCCCCGCTTCAGAATCCTGGGCTGTGCTGGCACCGCCTGTCCTGACGCCCCAGCTCCCACCCGTTTCCGGCACAGGCTGGGAGGCCGTGGCCACTCCAGCCACCCCTTCCCGGAGCTGCGCCTGCCCCGGCCCTCCCCGGCGCTGCCCACTGCCCTCCTCTTGGCTTCTGCCCACCCCAGCCACGGCTGCCTGAGTGCCGGTGTCCCAGGGCCAGACAGGAGGGAGGGAGACAGGGGGCTGCAGGCTGCGCCCGGCAACATCCCAGCCGGCGCTGACCCGCCTCTCGCCCTGCAGGCGCTGCTGTTCCTGGGGCTGGTGGCCGCCGTGGGCCTGGGCCTGAACCTGCTCCTCCTGGCGGCCTACCTGGCGTGTGCACACTGCCGCCGGCCGGGTGAGTCGGCGCACTCCAAGCGGCGTGACCCCTGCTGCGTCACCTGGACGGCGGTGGCGGCCGGGCTCGTCTGCTGGTGAGTGGCCCCGGCCCCGACCTCCTTGTGGCCCCACAGCGGCGGCCAGGTCCTCCTGGCCTCGGGGCTGGCGTGCCCTTTTCTTGCCAAGCGCGGGACACCGACGCCTGGGTGGTCCCGCCTTGGGGATCGCTCTCGTGTGCCCCGCTGGCCCCGCCCGCAGGGGCCCGCTGAGCCCTGTGCCGCTGGCATCCCGCAGAGGCCTCTCATCGCCGTCCTGGCCAGGGCCGCCCTGGGTCTCCGAGCATCAGCCTCGTCCCGACCATCAGGAGCCCCCGGGGCCCTCGGCAGTGCGCTCTGCTGGGGAAAGGCGAGAGCCCACCGGGGGCTGCCCGGCCACGCGCTCCCCACACGCCCATCGGCATGGCTGTGTCCACACACGCGCCGGCTGGTCTTCCAGGAGTTTCGTTTTTTTCTTCTTTTCATATTGACAGAGATTTCCCCAAAGCCTCAGGCCCAGCCCTCCCGGGGTAAAGGCCCCCCCATGGAAAGTGTGGGGCCCGGCAGCAGGAGTCACCTGCTGTCTCGGCAGCAGGGCGCGGGGGAGACAGGCCCCGGGAGGACGCAGGGCTAGCACTGCTCCCCCCCTGGTGTTCAAC